ATTGGCTCTTTTCAAACCGCACTTCATCCGCTTCACAGAAACTCTTTGTAATAATCTTTCTCACTGTGACAAATTGACCGATTTCTGCTCGTCATTGAGATGCAGGTGGATGGCAAAGTTGTCCGATAACATTGGATAATTGGTGTATCTTTCCGTATCTCGAGCTGTATCTTGAGAAGTTACATTTTACTTTTACGTGTATCCTTCCCGAGCTCGCTGGGCTTCCGCTGCGAGTGTAAACAGCAGTAAATAAACACAGCCGTTCAAACGTTTTTCCAAGACTTGGATGTGCCCGTATCTACAATTTTAACGAAAATGTTTTCGACTGCCACGAAATCAACCAGAAGAGTACTCGCTTCAAGTGAAAGACAAAATAAAAATCTGCGACAATAATACCGGAGAGAAATGCAACAACTTGCCTCCACAGATTTTGCACACGTACCTGCGCAGGTGTATGCATGGGATCATCATCACCACCCCACAGGCTAGGAACTCCTTTTGCGATGTTCTATTCACTCGCCCCTACTTTCCTCTTATTCTACCATCGATCCCAATTCCAAGGTAAATCCCACCCCTTCCCCGGAGCGTTTCTCTCAAGCAGTTCGCGCCGTTCTTCAAACATTTATGTCCTAACCTGGTTTTTTCCAGCACCCCTTTGGCTATTCTTCTCTCCGCTGCAGCCTCCCCCTCTCTCTTTATCTAAAAATAAAAAGAACGGCGCGAGGGCGGGTGGAGGAGAGAAAGAAGAAAAGAGCAAGGACAATGGTCCCGGGGCTAGAGTCCTTGGGTGGCTCTCGTTTTTGCGTGTACGTGTATGCATCAAAGAGAGCACCCGCAGGAGGGCCCTCCTCTCGAAAACAGCGCGCCAGCAGGGATCGTCCCAAAAGAGAAACAAGAGGGGATGGGCACTCGGGGCGAAAGTCGGAGCGCGCGCCTACGGAGTTGTCTCTATCTCCCCCTTTTATGATCGTCTTTGATGTACTCTTTTTCCCTCTCGAAAGTATAGTCGATCAAACGTGCGATCTCATGGATGTTTTTGCGTTTACACTCGAGGGACTCCAGAGGGTGATGTGCGCTTTGGCTCAACTTTGAGCCGTTGGTGTGGTGGGGGTTGGACTTGGAAGGAGTTTATACGTGTATTCGTACACTAAAAGCTTGGCTGTCGATATTCTCAAAGCTTTCTGTATTTGCGAGTGTCTTGGAGGTTTGGGATTTTTTAATTTTATTTTTCGATACTTGAGTGCTGTCACACGTACGCTTTTTCATACGAGACTTTTTAATATCATCTGCATGCAATAAAATAGAAAGGCAAAATTTGGTCTTACTATTCTCGCGTCAAATAAAAAACGTAGTTGCTTGTTGAATTGGATAGCTTTTAATTCCCGCAAAAATAAAGCTCTCTCCTTCGATCAAATAAAAGCTGTGAATATAATCTTGTACAATACACCCATATCCATTTGCTCGAACCGCAAAAAAGGATGTTTGCATGTGTATACGTATAGTACATGGGTCTATATAGAACCAAGATAAATTTAAATAGAGCCAGGGCTGCTCTTTGATATGGTAACGAATCGCTTGTACCGGGAAAATAGCTAAGGCTATGGCCAAAGGATGGAGACTCGCTGCTGCGTTAAAGATTCTTTGATGGAGTACCATCCGGTGATCTTTTATTTTTTGATCTTTACACTCAATGTATCCTAAAAAATTCTTTGAATTTTTTTTCTCATCTATTTAAGGAAGCCTTATGCTCTTTTGGTTTCTCATCCTTCTTCCAGTGCGGTGAGTTCAAAAGTAAAGTGATCTGGTGCTGGTACCATTGAGAGAAGCTTTGACAAAAGCAACGGATACAAGTATCTTTCGATTTAGATCTACATAAAGTTACGTTGATTTTAATTCCTGAGCGTAATATTTGAAAAATTAATGCATGGATACAGTTCTGTTGTCTTTCATTACGATAAGGTCGGGAAAGTAACGCATTATTGTTTAATAAAAAAAAAAAAATTTAAGTAAGATGCACATACTTGATGAACAAGATTATCTATGAATGATTTTATAACTCAGCTATTAAGAGGATCGATAACACAAATCAATTATACAATCGATACAGTATGCGATTTACTGATGGTGTTTAACTTACTTCAGATACTAGGTATTAAAAGAAATGAACTTTTTTGAGTTTATCACTTTTCGAATACATGAAAACAGTAATTTCAAACACATATTAATTAAATTTAAATATATTTAACGCTAAAGTATAATCAAAACTATTAGTAAATATTAAATACATTTATTGAAGAGTCTCGACTATACTAATCATGATTTAATTACAACCATATTTTCTCCTAAAGTTCAGATAATGGACACAAATGCGATCAATCATCAAAATGATCAACATCCCATTGGGATCAAATTTTTACACAATAGTTTAGAAAGATGATTTTTTAAGGTTTTTTCAACATGATTTTAATTACGTATCGCCATAGATGGATGAAAAAGTTTCCACACGGCACACGAGATCAGAGGTATAATTCACAGCAAGAGACAAGCGGAGGAAAGCCAGGGGGGAGCGGCGGGAGGGCGTCGGGAAAATTTGAAGAAACCGTGCACGTCCCTCGGTGTCTGGACGCGCGACGCGACGCGTGGATATGAGAGTTCGCGCGATAAGGAGGAAAAATTACGTGCGAGGAGTGCCTGTATCTTTCAGGGAGACACGCAGCGACGCCGAGAATACGGAAAACGCTCGGAGGGCGGGGGACGGCGGAAACAATCGTATGCCGAAGGGAATACCGCCGAGCGTTGTTTGTTGCTCACTTTTCTCCGGTTGTTCATAAGAATTTATACTCATGCCAACCATTTCATCCGACATTTTTCAACCAGACTCGCGCGCGTTTAATAAAAACTAGATTTTCCTACAAGACGGTCGGGATGTTTTAAAATCCCAAGGGAACTTAAACAGCGAGGGATGCCTTTTTTTGCCCCAAGTTAAAAGAACGCCGTGAATTTTTCCGCGCGTACACCGCGGCATCAAATCGAGCGTAAGGAACGGCAAGACGTGGAATTTCAATGTGAATATCTGAAACTCGTGCGTCTCTCGGCTTTCGACAAAACCCAGCAGCACAAAGCTCGAATATCGATTATCCCCGAAATAATAATAATCCTTCCGCGACAAATGGTACGAGGAAAAAAGAAATATATTTGTCCCATGCTCTCGGAGGACTCGACAACTTTTCCTCCGCGTCCCGCATCCAATTATAAACGCGATGACTTATGCAAGCGCCGGAAATTCCTTGGAGCAAAACTACTTATTCCAAAGTTAATTCTACGCGCCAGGTGCGGGGAGGGCCCAACGTGAAATACTTTCTGCGCGTAAACAGTATCCTCGCGAACGAAGAGCTTATTAACTTTGATTCCTCGGCTCCGTATACACAGTGTAAAATCGACGCAACCGTGGAGCAGTCTCGGGTGCAGCGCCATCGTAAAAGCGGTTTTAAACATTTAAAAATTTCCCCCGGAGTCTTTTTACCCCGAGGAGTTGTACCGAGCGCTAGAAACTGGGATGGGTTGGCAGCGGACACCCCGTGCTCATACTCTACTCTCCCATCATTCGCTTCCTCGATGAGGCGCGTTTTTCTTTGTTATTGCGAGAGCGGAAAAGTGCAGGGCGCCGGTTCTCCCTCTCGGGCAAGAAAGTTTGCACTCTCCTTTTTTTTCACCTTCTTGCCTCCCCGCACCCAGGGACTCGTAGAAAATACAGTACCTAGTAGCAAAATTCTCTGTTTTTTTTAATAATAATAAACTCTGTAATGTAACGTCAATTTTTCATTGGCTTTCCAAATAATAATAAATACTTTTGAAATACCGATATGGATGGATAAGACCAAAATTTAACAAACACCAGATTTTTACGTTAGTAATCGATCTGATTAGTATTTACGATTCACCCATCATCATATCTTACTTTGCGATTCTCGAGGTAAATCCAACCTCGTTAGATACGTATACGTGCCCGTCTGCACTACAGTATCTCTTCAAAAAAAAAGGGGGCGGAGGAGGGCTAGTTTATCGAAATTATCCCAGTGGCCGAGTCGAGCCAAGTTGCTCGTTCCGGGAATAGGTACTAAAACATTTAATTCCATCTCACGAAGCTATCAGACCACCGACTAGTGCAGCCACGTTATACAATACGGTGGCTGGTACCGAAATGACCACGTAAAAATCCGCCTGTAACTGACAAATTACCTTCCCCCGTGGGATTTTCGAGTGGATAAACCTCGCGGAGCTCTGATCTACTATCACGACTCTCCCCACGAAAAATATCACCACAGCAGGCTCGGACGTGCCTTCTTTATTATTACTGTTTGCCAAGGCGAGAACTTTTTGGCTATAGGTCCAGGTACATCCGCGCCTTATCTGTTATCGTTTCGGGAAGTGACTTTTTCCTCGTGAAAGCAATTACCAAGGTTAATCCAACGCGTGCTACAAACTCGAAGCCCATTAGCGAGCCATTAAAAATGAAAGTGCATGATGTAAGTACAAACGACTGCTCTCAAGAAGGCTGCCGAATGAGTAATTCAGTGATTGAGCTTAAGCCTCCGGTACGAGTTCTACGGTCGCGCGAAAAGTCTCGACCACTGAGAGGGTGGGGGGGAGGGAATAATTAAAATGTAGAGCCGCGATCGTCGAATCTCTTCCTTCCTGTTTCAGTCCGAGCTGTTTGCCCACCGGCTACCGTGTTGGTTAAATTGCGGCGTAATTGAGAGTGCGAGGGCCTACGCGTGGCTCGAGAAAACTTAATTAATTAGCATATCAAGGAGCTCGAGTGGCTCTCCTCGCCGTCTGTGTAGGGCCGAGTGGAGCTTTAATTAGGAGTGGTAAAGCGCTGAGAGTTGGGAGATTTCTTCCTCCCTCCCCCCATTTTGCCGTACCGCGGTCTGTAACTTTATAAAGTTTTTGTTGTTACGTTTTAATCACCCTCGTGTATTTTTGCTCTTTTTTTGCAGCCTGGACAGGGACCAGCCCTTCACCTTCCAGTTGGGCGTCGGCCAGGTGATCAAAGGATGGGACAAGGGACTCATCGACATGTGCGAAGGCGAAAAGAGGAAACTCATCATCCCACCTGAGCTTGGATACGGCGATCGTGGAGCCGGCAACGTCATCCCGCCGCGTAAGACAGATTCTTTTTTTTTTTTATCAGTGGGGTTTGTTGGATTTTGTATAGCAATGACGTTCCTGCCACGGTCCGAAAAGCTCTTGGACATTATAAACTCAAATTAGACGATACAAAACCAAGTCGTTATTCGAAACAGTTCAGGCATTCAGTTTTTTTTTGTTGCTGACGCTTTTAAAATAAGTTGAAAAATCTCACGAAACCACACTTCCCAGTGGACTAACGCAAAAAAAGATAGGCAGAGGGGAACCAATGAAAAAAACTAGAAAAAATTTTATTAGCGTTGGAAGAGGAAAAAAATTCGACGTGCACAGGTAGGGAATCATGAATCGAATCTAGCGGTAAAACGTTTCGATTCAGTGTAGTTTTTGCCTGACAATAGATCGGCAATTATCTGCGTATCGAGCTGCTTGTTGAATCATACACTGAGAGAAAAAATAATAAAAAGGATGGAGAAATTCCGGGAAAAAGTACCATTTTGCACAATAAATCAAAAGCAAGTTGGCAAAAAAAGAATAAGTTATTATTTTTTACAGTTAAAATTATTGTTTTAACAGTAAACATTTCTATGCAGGAAAGTAAAATTTATCAATCTATCCTTTTAAAGTTTACTGTTCCAGCATAGTAATTTTTACTGTTTCAACCATAATTTCTATCATCATAATTTAATAACTATTAAAAAATTAATATTTTTCCTGTTAAAAATAATAACTTTTTTGCCGCAACTTGCATACGATTTACTGTGCGGAGTGGTAATTTTTGCGGTAATTTCTTTTTAATTTTTACTATTTCTTTCTCTCAGCGTAGATCTAAAGCTAAAGGTCAGCAGTAGTATTGAAAAGCTAGTCTGGGAGATGTTTAATTTTGTTCTTTATGTGTACAGTGACGCGTTTTCTGGCAAAAATGCACGCCAAGCAATGTATTATCGCTCTCGTAAACTGAACGCGTGAGTAAACGAATAATAAATAATGTGGTTGGAAAAGCACACACGGCTATTTCTACCTACGATCGTATGACGTCGAGCCAATTCACGAGTTTATCGAACGCATAGCTATGTAAACGAGGGAGGACCCTCTCATGGATGTATAGAGCGACTATCGATGCAGCCGCGGCGACCTCGTGACAATATATGTTTATTAACCGAACGTTATCATTTTTGCTCGCGAATGTGCACTGTGTGTGTGTGCCATTATGCGGGGAAGTGCAGAAATTAATTTCACTTGTTTGAGCCTCGAATAATTATGTCAGCTATATTTCATGGGCACCGATACCTACCGACAAAATTTCCGCGACTCGCCCGTGTATATAATTAATGGACCTTCGGGTGCACAGGGTCGGTTGGGCACGGTAATGCGAGCACGGGAAAAAAATGACGAGCGCAATTGGGAGATTTTCCGGGATAGTTGCGCAAAACATTTTCAGGCGATATTTCAGTACTAAAAGGGTTTAATCAATGCAACTATTGATATCACTGCGATGGGGTTTCAAAACAAACGCCAGTAATGTGGATGAAAGATTAATTAAAAAATCACTATCACGCCATTCACTACGAATTGGACTGTTTTAGTAGAGGAATGAAAAATAAACCACACAGTAATGCAAAATAGAACTCGATATGCAAGTTGATAAAAAAAATAAAGGCAAAGTCCTAGGATCGACTTTTTTTCCCGGTATTACACTGGATATTGTTGCACTTTCAGCTAATACATTTCTCGTTGAGGCTCTATTACTATAAATCGTCCAGACAGCCTCTCTAATTCGAGCGCTTTTTTCCCCACCCGCCGAACCATTTCCGGATCTGCGAGCAGATAAAATGATTTATCGTAAACTAGTACATTCGTTTTTTTGGTGCTCGCGTAAAACGCAAAATTGCCATTTCCAAGTTGAAATTGTTATCCTCGACCCATCGACATGGAGCTCGTTCGCGTTTTTTAGCTGGGGTGTATATGTATGCGTGCAGTAAAATTAAAATCCCTGGAAAATGGCCGAATATCCGTCGCGCGACCGGAAAAAAGTGAGAATGGAGAAGAAAGGAGCAACGAGGGAGGGAAAAAAAGTGGGACGCGGTGCGAGAAGCTGCCTGCGATGTACTTTTAATGATCCACAATGTGCCGTGTCGAATCGGGGCGTCGAGTTCGGGTGAGGGTGCATTTTTAAATTTGAGTAAAGAAAAAGTAAAATTCGTAAATGACCGGAATAATGTCTAAAAGCAGCTAATACTCCATTTTTCACGGTAACGCTGTAACAATGGGTGCACCAGCCAACTTTTAGCTTAAATAATTTTTTTTTTTTTTTGCATCGCTACAGCAAGTACTACAGTAAAATTGGCTCACCTTTCCTATCCGGGAGTGAAGCCGTGTATAAAAATAAAAAATGTTTCCTCTTACAAATCCGTACAAAAATCCCTTAAAAAAAAAGGTCATGCTCGACACAATAGCATTGCCGGGAGACAAAATTCTCTTCGATATCGAAAAATGCGGGATAAAATGAATTTAAAAAATCGCTGGTGAGACTGATTTTTTTTAGTTAACTTGGTGAAGAAGATTTTTAAAATAAAAAATAAAAAAATAAAAAAATAAAAAATAAACGAATGGGATGCCTTTTTTCCACTCGTTCCCTTACACCTCGCTTTCGCAACTGTACTAACGAAAAAAAAACAAAAAAAAAAAAAAAAACAAAAAAAAAAAGAAAAAAACGCCTTTCATTCCACCTAGACAGTGCTTCGCATTCACCAGCAAGCTTTCTTTATCCGCTCCAAGCGCACAAAGCCAGTCGTTTGTAGTGCAGATTTTGTATCGGACAATCCACCTCTGGTACAAGCAAAAAATACTCCAACAACTGACTGGCTCTTTCGCTTTTTTTCAATTACAATTTATCAGTCAATTAGTACTCTGTGAAAGGCTTTGTAATTAAAAAAAAAAAAAACTTATGTCCAAAGCTGTCAATCGAATAAACGCTCGGCGCACAAGCGATTGGCTGACTTTTATCGGAAAGTCGAGTGAAAGACAAGCGAGTTTTGTTTGACATTTGATCTTTTGGGATTTCACCGGAATCCAGAGCAATCAGTGAAATCAAATCGACACGCGTCACTTTGAAGAGCTTTTTCAGGTTCGAATGGGCATATCGGGTTCTCTCGCGCGCACTCTATCCGCTTTGCTGTAAGCCATTGACCGGTTATTTTTTTAAAGTTCGACAGCAGCTTTAACTAACAAAAAAAAAAAAATAAATAAAAATCCATGATCCCTAAGGTAACCCCTGAAATTCATCTGTTTGCAGACGCCACTCTGTTCTTCGACGTTGAGCTCATCAACATCAGTGATTCGCCCCCCAACGCCAACGTGTTCAAGGAAATCGACGCCGACAAGGACAATCAGCTGTCCCGCGAGGAGGTGAGCGTAATGGCAAGGATCGTTCTTTTTGTTCAGTTTATCTTTTTCTGGGGTCACTAGGTGTCGGTCTTAAGTAGTTGCTCGAAACTTTTAAGACTTACCCAATACGATTGCTCGTACCGAATCTCATTCAGATTTAATTTCACAATTCTCGTTTTACTAACACATTTCTCTTTTCTTCCTTTAATTACATTTGCATGTCTAAACTGTACATATTTATTGTAAATAGACATTGTACATTTTTTTTACCGCATAATAGATACGTAATTCGAAACACGATAATCCAGCCGACCCTCGAAAAATATCAACGGAACGAGATGCACCCGCATGCAATTCCAATTTTTAACCTAAAATCCTTAACATTGTACAATTATAAAAAATAAGAATAATAACAAATAATATCAGTCAAAAACAAGGTTTTAATGAAACGAGTCTAAAAGGAAAAAAAAAAAAAAAAATTGCCCGTGTTGTGCAGGTCAGCGAGTACCTGAAGAAGCAGGTGATGGAGTCAGAGCAGGCGGGCGGTAGCCCGAGCAAGGAGATGGAGAACATGTTGGCCGACCATGACAAGCTCGTCGAGGAGATCTTCCAACACGAGGACAAGGACAAGAACGGCTTCATCTCGCACGACGAATTCAGCGGACCCAAGCACGACGAGCTCTGAAAAGCTGCTCTCCTGCTCTAACATTACACACCCACACACCCACGGAAAAATACATACACATACACACGCACGTACTTTGGACATTCGATCGCATGCATATAATATACAGGGACGCAATAAACTGCCACGACAGACAATGATCCTCATGGAGATGGTGTTGGGCCATTTTGGAGGATCCACCCCACCTCCTTTGAATGACACTCCATTTCGTTGTTTGAAGGTGCACAGAGCCGCTAACTCTGCCTCTCTTTCTTCGACCATTATTTTCTTTGACTTGAAATTGCACACTTTTTTCTCGCAATGTCTCGACCGTCGCGACACGCGAACGACAAACAGCCGCGAAGTATCCACTACGGTCGGATCATAATGTGAAAGGACGAAATTGCCGATTTTGGTACTTTATCGCGTAAATATCTTTCAATCCGTACGGCTTTTTGGATGCTTTGTCGACTGGTACTGAAATTAATTATTCAGACAATTTTTTCCGACTCCGCGATTGAAAGTAATAAAAAAGCCTCGAGGTGCGATCTCTTTTGTTCGAAGTAATGAAGTAACAACAGCAGTAGCAGCAGCGATGAAAACGGAGAAGCAGAGCACAGTGGCTGCCCCAGGACCGGTGACCATCAGTTTCGCGCAGATAGAGACGGAAAGCAGAGAAAACAATAACACCGCGCGAGAGCTAAAAGAGACGGCAGGTGAAAAAAAAAAAGTGCGGCTGATGAGAGAGGGAGAAAAAGAGGAGACTGGAAATCGAGCTCGACCCCTTTGGCTTTTTTTTCGCGAGGCGAGACATTCCACTGCTGCACCGAGAGAGAAGCTAAAGGAAGTATACATGTATACATGGCGCAGAGAGAGGGAGCTCGCTCGTGTTTAGGTATACGCGCGCACACACCCCAACTCATACATTTACACACGTATACAGAATGAAAATAAAGTATAAGATGAAAGAAAAGAGAGAAAAGAACGTTCGAGTGATCCCGACTCTCCAAGTGTAAAGTGATCCCCGAGCATCATCCTGTGCCGAGTGAGAGCGAATGAAAAAATAAAAGAGCGAGTGCAAGGAACAAAAAAAAAGGTGCGAATGAAATTTTTTACGCGGACGTGTACGTAGGGGTGTTGAGAAGAAAAAAATAAAATAAAATAAAGGAAATAGGCTGAAACAGAGATAGAGTCTATTGTTCATTTGGGAGTGTTTTTTCGTGCGCAAATCGTGTGCTGCCTGAACATATGTTGTTTTGTATACTCCGTACGTTTGCTTTGAGGATTTTCTCCTCCGGAATAACTACTGCATTTTTCGTCATTCCTTCAGTCTTTTTTGTTACTTTTCGTACTTAAAGGTCATCGTCGTTTTTTGTTTTTTTTTAATAATAAATTTTTCACAATCCATCCAGTGGATAGTGGACGGAGAAATTTTTAACCATACCTGGTGACAGCGTCTTGCGTGTCGTGTTTTTGATACGAATTTTTTATTGATCGATTGGTTAGTTGGTTGATTGATTGATTGAGAATCGATGATGTTTTTACAATTAAAAAAAAATCTTTTCTCATCTGACCATGAATTAAAAAATTTATAACAATAAATATGTATGTACACCCGTTGAATGTTTTTCTTCTCGAAGCTACGTTTTATCATTGCGCTTCTCTGAAGATGTGTTCTTGACCTTTGATCATATTAATCATATGTGAAAATCTATTTAACAAAAAATGTAAAATTTAATTATAACAAAATTGGGATTGAGCAATAGCAAGTTTATATGAAGGTGAAAGAAATCCGAAAATAATTGAATAAATTTTACGTCACTCTCGTTGCAAGCATTATTAATCTAAAATTATGCGTTTTTATTACCACATTATATTGTATGTTGTTAAAGTTTGACGAAGGTTAANTATTATTATCATCATTATCATTATCGTCATTATAAACTTCATTACCATCATCATCATTACTATTATCATCATCAATATCATCAACGTCGTTGTCATCGTTGTCTTTATTGTTATTGTCGTCTTCGTCGTAGTCGTTGTTATTGTTGTCACCATTACGTCATCGTTAATATTATCATTATTATTAAATCGTGCATCTCTGGCACATTTTGTTATAAAAAAAAAAAAAATGTTTACTCATTCAACCCTCCCGATCCCTCATTCGACGCAATAAATACTATTTCATAGGACACAAGGTAAAGGATCAAAGGTAATGTTGAAACAAAGACATACATGATTCAAGGCATATAATTTCAGTTCTTTATTGTATATCGATCACGTTCACTTAATGCTGCACAGCGTGTTGTTTTTATTATTACTATAATAATCGACTTAAACATTACGTACGAATTTTACTTCTATGCTTTCGTTTCTTCACAGCAGCTGACTCTCAACTAAAGCAGTGCGCGCGCGATTTTCCCTAGCTCAACGTATTCGTCTCACGTAACTTATCTCCTTTTTTTTTTTTTTTTTTTTTTTCAAGATTAAAATCGATCGACGTCACATATACGCGTACGGATGTACATGCACGATAATCGTCGCTTCGCTACGAGACGAGCCATCGTCGATCAACGCCACAACATATACAGCTAACGTGCGTCTCGTTGTTCCTTTTTTTCATGCCTTCGCGATACATCGAAGATTTACAAATATACATGTACAAATTCTACACGATTACGATGAAGATCGAGTCGCTTTGCTGAATTATCGCAAGAGGCACGCTTGTTCCTGCCAGTCTATTATCACGTCAAAGTGTACGCGTTACTTCTGGAAATATTTTTAAGAGAGGAGGCACACAACGTCACTGGTTATATAAATTTCCTTTGTATACTTAAACGATCTTTTTTTCTTCGATCTCATTAAACAATTTTGATAAAATATTTGATTTTGGTACACAATATAATTTCATCGCGTCTTAGTAAAAATATTTTGGTAGAAAAAATTTGTCCGACAGTTTAATTTTCAACATTTGTCGAAAGAGTGTAGTTTCTACTATACGATGTACGATAAAGTTTTAAAAATCGTTTGTAAGATTTTTGCGTCAAAAAACATGCATAAAAATTTATAATTTTGTTTTTCGAAAGGCCCAAAATTTTTTTAAAGCCCATCATTCGAATCATGAATATTTATTATACGACTCGCGTACAATACAACTATACATTAATGCACGTATCCAGTGATTATTAAAAATTGCCAAAAGATTCAAGCTTTCGATTATCCTTAAAAGTTCGCTGTTCCGACTCATACAGTAAATAACCGTTTGAGAATTACATTCGTTAGGCTAACGTAAGACTAGGCATTACAATAATTTATACACTTACACCAACACGTCGCGATTGCTCGAAATTCATAAAGCATCGGTTATTTTCAAGAATTTTTTTTTTGTTTTTAAACAACGAATTGTCAAATTCGTAAAAAGACACGCATGTACGCGGGGCGTAAGTGTAATCGTTGTCACGACGATAGGCGATGTGATAATGTTATTCTGGAGAAATCGTGCAACACTATTTGGTTTTCGTAATAGTAACTATACATATATTATCGAGATTTACGTCGATAAACGTTGTCATTACTCTCTGCTTTTTTTTGTTCAATTAACTCCCGGTATTTCTTATTTTTTTTGTTTTTTTCTTGTTTTTTTTTTTTTTGTTTTTTTTTTTCAATTTACAATTTTTCACTAGTGACTATTATTATCGCAACACAGTTTGCCTCTGTATGTATGTGGTATGACGTGTAAGCCCATACGTTGTTTTCTATTGTACATTTTTACGTGTTCTACACCGTAGCTTAAACACTAAATTATACGCATCGAGCGTCGCGTACTTCAAAGATCATAAGGTTATATTAGATGTATGTACGTACTATCCTTTCAACAACGTGTCAGCTTGTGGCTGCGATGCACAAAGTAAAATTGGTTGAATAGTGACTATTGGCTGTCGAATATTTTATTTCTGCTCACTAGTGATTGGAAAAAAAACAAAAACAAGAGTCACCGAGTCCACACCTTACCTCTTATACTTTTTTTTTCTTCTTTTTTTTTTTTTTGTTTTTTTCTTTATATTCAACTCGGCAATCAATTGGAAAAAGTTCAAAGTGAAACAAATCGAAAGAGAGCAGTGAATAAATAAAATTGAAGGCCGTCGGAGAAAAAAACGTAATAGACGGTAACATGCATCAATAGCGAGAAATGAGAGAAATAAACAACAATAACAAAAAGAAAAATATGTACGTGTAGAGCGATTCGATTACAGTAGTCGCAATCAAAGAAATAGAGGACTAATGAGGGAAGGAGAAAACGCTCGAGCCTCCTAACGCGCGGGGCAGTAGTTGTCCTCCTCGTGACTTGCTTTTGGTATACCCAACGCGTCGATCGCATCCAAGGACGACGTCTCTGCTCCTCTGGCATCCGGCGAAGAAGAGGAAAAAGAAGAGGGAACCCACTCGGCAAGGGCGATTTTAGTCTTCGACCGACAGCTTCGTTCGTTCGTGTTTCTTTGTTTTATTATTATTNGCGCCCGAAAAAGATGATAATGGTTTAAGCGGCACGTATATACGTGTACCTAATAACGGTGCGTGAGTTTTCTCTCAAAACAGAGGAACAATGGCTTTGTCGCTTTGGCTCAGCTTGGGTGTAGAGCTTTTGTGATCTTTGTGTGCGAACGAGTATTTTTTTTTTTTTTTTTTTTTTTTTTTTTTTTTTTTTTTTTTATTTTTTTTTTTTTTTTTTTTTTATCACAGTCAGTAGCCCTTGATGTAGGCAGCGATGTGTTTCTTCTCCTCTTCCGAGAGTCCGTTCTTCAGTGTTCTACGCACTGCAACACGCAAGCAGATGAAAAAAAAAAAAAAAAAAAACATTTTATTGGAACCTTTTGCTTCTCCAGCGCTTTTGACTCGCCAACGAGGGGATGATCATGACTCTTTTCCCTCGTCGGACAGTCGTCTAAGCTACGTTTCATGCACAATGTTTAATATCTATATAATCATGCAAGTACAAAAATTATTAAGAAAATCATGCTTTTGTCAAATCTGGCATTCAAATGATCTATCACATCAAAAGTTGTATGGGTATATTATTCACATTTCAGCCAACACTAACTCAAACTCATGAGTAAAGATTAGTACAGAGTGAGCGCAAGATTTTCATTGGAAAAAAAAATCCATACAACCCCGCCACGCTTTGTTGAGATCCAAATAATAACAGTCAAAGACGCTTCTCTCGGCCCCAGAGATCGAAATCCATTTTTCGAGCTGGAAGAGCCCGCAGTTTCAGCGGCAGCCCTCTCACCCGTGCTTACGCATAAAAGATACCCGTATCGTAAAGAGCCGGTGGTGCACTTTTACGTATACTCCCCTGGCAGTGCTCGTCTCCTTCCATTAAGGTCCAAATGTCTAACTCGGAAGTATTCAACTCCCCCCTCGAGGTGCTGCGACACTTTCGCGCGGGATTTAGCGCCGCTAGAGAATTTTGTGCGGTTGACATTAATTTTTTTTGAACGAGCGTTTTTGCATCGACTCCTTGCGGCTCGTATAAAAATTTTTTGCTCATTCGTAACAGTTTTCTAATTGTCCCGAATTCACACACGGAGGAACACTTTTTCGCGTGTCTGACCAAAACGCGATATTTACTACTGGCTCGCTTCACAGCTATACACTACTGAGCCAAATAATTATTTTTTTTTTTTTTCTGGCAGTATTGGGCAGCAGGACGATGGAATGACATTGAAATACACTAGCGAGTAGAGACGTTTGATTACCCAAAGAGAAAATAATCAGAGTAAGCAGGGAAACGCGCGACCGAAAGTACCGAGTTTCAAATTGAGATTCAAGTCCCGCGAGCGCGTCGAGTTATTAAGCGTCATAATTAGCCCGTGGCTGTTGCAGCCAATGGGGACAGTAATAATAATGATAATAACGATAATCTGCAAAGTAGCGATCGAGTGGATTTATTCCCGCAATTACTGGGCCACGGGCACACCCCTCGAGTGCGATTCCGGGGAATTTAGCCGTATTATTTTTCATCACTCTCAATCCTGCGTTTCATTAGGCCGTTCAAGATGTACCACAATATACGACTTTGGATAACCAGAAGTGCTCGAATTTCGGGATAATGAACCGCCCACTCGTTTAAAACTTTAAACTCGCATCTCCACGGGGTTGACCATTTGTCGTTTCGAGCTCACCGCGAATAATCCATCGAAGGCTTTGGCATCAATTCGATAAAAAAAAAAAAAATCGGTCATTTGGCATTAGGAATCACTACCAGTTTGGTTAATAATTCACTGTCCATCAAGTGACTCCCCCCAACCCTTTACGAGTACACTACATTACAAAATGACGAATCACTCTAGCCACTACAACTCACGCGGGTTTCGATTATTTCGCGATGGTATGCGTATATGCTCCCGGCTGATTAATGTCGATTGTGCGGATCGGCAGAGGCGTATATCTACGGCCTCGACGACGATGGACCTCTTGTACAATGGGGGGGTTGTAAATTTACCATGCATTGCGTTGATGTTCTTCACTGGTCTACCGCGCGGGGCTTATGGTTTGCCGGGGTTTCTGATACATTGGATACCAAGATAATTGATCAATTTTCGTTCTTCGAATCGCATGCTTGGGATGTCGCGATTAGAATTGTGAGCTATGGCCAAGGCGTAAAAGACGTGTAAAATGACGGTGGGAGGAAAACTTTTCGTTCGAAACAAAAAATAACAGGGGACGATATCGAGGCCAACACACTTGGAGCGAGAGAGAGAGAGAGAGGGGGGGTGTTAGTTTCGTGCTGTTAGTTCATGCTGCAGGAACGCAGGATAGCGAGAAAAGGGAGCTAAACAGCAGTAATGGTAGGAACACAAGGGCACAGGTGGTAGCAGCAATAACAGCTATAGATATGATCAGCAGCAACAGCAAGCCTTTCTAGTTTTTGTTCGAGCGAACCTTAAATCAGCAGGTCAGAGGCAGGTGGTAGGCTCCCTCTCTCAAGGTCGATAGCCATCCGGTGTCGTGTTGTTCTCCCGTGTGCGCGAGCGCTTTTCTTTCTTTTCTTCTATACAGCAGCCTCGCGCTCACTTGTATGCTACACAACACTGGCTTTTTGAAGAAATCTGCACGATTTCAGTCCGCGATTGCGTGAGTTTTATGGCGCGCACGCTTGTTTTAACTCTGGTTTTTTTTTTTTTTTTTTTTTTTTTTTTTTTTTTTTTTTTTTTTTTTTT